TTGGGGGGGGGGGGGGGGCTCGGGTCTGGGTGAGGGTTGGATGGCCAAAGGATTTGATTGGTAGGGAGGTACCATTGGTGCAAAGGCTCGTCAGACGGGTATGCAGGCTCGATTATAGCTAGTGTACTGATTAAAGCGCAACGGTGGGGTTGGTCACGGTAGAAATGCGGAGATCCAGGAGCGGCTTATCGTGTTGCCAGCGCGCACGCCAGTGCGCAGCGACCTCTTCATACGCTAGGGAAAGGCGATCGTGAGCCAGACAGTAGGTAATGTTGGACAGGCTGGGGCTAGGACGAGAGTGGCATAAAAGTTTGTTGGCAACGCACTGGTGGTTTGACAAAGATCCTCGGGAACAGAAAAGGCGGCAATGATCAGGTCCGCTTCAGGACTCATTCTATCAAAGCAAAAGATGATGCAGTGGTCAGAGCAGAGCAAAGCTGTCTTGCGCGGTGATCAGCGCCAGACGATGCAGAGCATTCACCAGATGCCTGGCACAATGATTGAAACGCGAGGTAGAGGAGAGCTCTACCTTGACTGAAGAGCCTGGTGGAGTCGCAGGGTGATGTTGCCTAGGTTGTTACGGCTCTCAGAGCCAAGCCTTGGACGCTGCCAGTACACGGCAGGGTAGCTGTGCGCACGGGTGGTAAATGAATGCCAAGCGTTGCCACGCAATGTCACATAGAGGGTTTGAGGGCGATTGCGTGGTGGATTGACCCTACCCAAGCAGCAGGCCGGTGATGGCGACGGGGCAGAAGGCACCTGGCTGCACTCGCAGCCAGCCCGTGGCGGCAGCGTCCGCCTCGAGCTGGGCGTGGGCTCCCTGCAGCTTTTCGCCAAAAGAGTGTAGCAAGGCTGGCCAGCCACCCACATCGTCCCCACCACCATTGCCGCACACGTCTGCTGAGTCGATCCAGGCGCAGGGATGGCCGTGGCGCGCATCCACGACGCGGGCATCAGTGGCAACGGCCGAAAGCTCGGTCAAGGCAGCCCGAGGCAGCAAAAAAGGCAATCCCATCATGCTCAGGGCCTCATCATCCTCTGCAGGTCGACCCACTACGGGAACGACCCTGGGTGTCCCACCACCAGTGGCGTCACCCCGATCTGGCAGCTCCAGCCAAAGGCAGCACAGCGCTTCAGTCAGCCGCGCCTCGTGCAAAAAAGCCAGCAGTTGTGCCGGCCGGACCTCCAACGCATCCACCAAATACGCGCGCTTCAACCGCGCCACCACAAGCTGCACATCCGTCAGGAAGCGTCGAGCCACTCGCGACGAAACCTTGCGTCCAAACACCCGGCGAAACGCCCCGCTCCACTCCCTCCCCTCCCCTGCCTCCATCCCCTCGACACACACACACGCACGCACACACTCATACAGCTCAGCTCAGCGCTGCTCTGCCCAGCTCAGCGAGCGCTTCAAACTTCATGTGGTAGTTGTGCTTTTCCTTTGTGTCTTTGCTCTTTACTTCTCTCTTCTCAAACCAATTCATTCAAACTTCATCTCTCAAACTCTCTCTCTCTTTCATTCATTTCCGCTCTCACATGCTGTGCAGCGCTACGTGTGTCCCTTGCAAGCACATGACACTTTCTGTCTTACATCTCTCTCTCTCTCTCTCTCAAACTCTCTCTCTCTCTCTCTCAAACTCTCTCAAACTCTCTCTCTCTCAAACTCTCTCTCTCTCAAACTCTCTCTCTCAAACTCTCAAACTCTCTCTCTCAAACTCTCAAACTCTCTCAAACAAACTCTCTCAAACTCTCTCAAACTCTCAAACTCTCTCTCTCTCTCAAACTCTCTCTCTCTCTCTCAAACTCTCTCAAACTCTCTCTCAAACTCTCTCTCTCTCTCTCTGCTTGCACATGTAGCGGGAGGTTGGTCTGCTGCTGCGCGTGTGTCGTGAACTGCGTTTAACAGGTTGGTTCGATCTCATTCAGCTCGGCTGGGTGCCAACTGGCTGGCTGGCTGGCTGGTGGGCGATTCCTTGCGTTCTTGATGAAGACTGCGGGTTACGATTGTCTGAATCACACACCTGCAAAGGGTTTTGGTGTCCCGTCTTTCTAACCCGTTTGCCATGCTTCTTGTGAATCAGATTCAAGGCGCCGATACGTAGCATCATTGCTGGACTTTGAAGCACAGGCAAGATGGGCAATATTGGACCACAGGGAACACCGTACGATGCGCATGGCAATCGCCGCGCGCGGCACGCAGTGGATTACGACTTTCCCTGGGAAAACGTGTCAGCCAAGACCTCGCTCGGCTTTGGCCTCGGCAGCATCGATGTGGGTCCCGCTTCCTGGATCCCCATGCTGTCGCGCGTATCGTGCAGTTTGTACAGAGAACTGATTAACATGTCTTGACTCACACACTCCACCTAGCAAAGCTCACCTGTCTGTATCTGCCATGGCTCGGTTCTTTTTCTTTTTTTTTTTCTGTCCTTTTTTTCTCGGAACGGCAATGTAGCGTGCCGTGGCTCGGCGAGTGGACGTGGGCTTTGCTCACCTCGAGTTTGTCGTGTGTCGCCGCTTGGACATTGGCTTTGGCCGAGTACGTGCCAAAATCCACCGCCCTGCCCCTAGTGTGCTCCGATGGTCATATTCCTATGCACTTCCCTCTTGTTGGCCAACTTTGCACGCTCACCACCCACCTCCATCGGCAGGTGGATGAAGCCATAGTCTTTGACCGCGTCGATGTGGGCATGGGCCGTACGTGACTTGTCGGGTTGATGGGCATTCTTTATCATTCTTAGCCTCATTCACTCAATTTCAATTACCCAACCTGGAATTGCCGTACCCGCCCCCCCCCTCTCAGGTGTCGGCAAACTGCATTGCCTCGCAAGCACCCGCCAGGAAGTGGGGCTGGGTAGCATCCAAAAAGTTGGTACGTTGACAGGTCACTCAAACTTGATCGCGCTGCACCATCGGGTGCCAACCCATCATCCCAGTTGCTGCACTCACCACCCTGGCCGGCCAATCGCAGAATTCCATTCCCTAGGCGAACTTGTACAAATGGCCCGCTCCTGCGCTGGCATGCCCCCCTCGGCACATCCGGAAACACACGGTGGTAGGTAAAGCGAGGAAGGCTACCTTTGCCGACCCACACCGCACTCACGCGCCTTGGTACCTCTTCTGCCTTGCCATGGCGCTCTTCCGACACAGATTTGTTTGTTGGTGCCGAGGTTGGTCCCGACTTGGTTGTGTGTGGCTTTTTGGTGTGGCTTTTTGGTGTGGCTTTTTGGTGTGGCTTTTTGGTGTGGCTTTTTGGTGTGGCTTTTTGCGGGTCTTGACGACGCACGCACTTACCTGTTCTGCTTGTGGCGCCATCGATCTGCTCGCTCAGAATCAGACGTCAGTGGTTCCTTCGCCGACAAGTTCAGGACCAGCGTTGGCACCTCCTTTGCCCTACACTGGAGCACAACTTGGCCATCATGGTCCAGTTCCTCAGCAGCAACAACCAGCCTACTATGCCAGTTCAACCCCGCTCCCTAATAACGAGTCCCAGAACGTGATTCAATACGCGGCACCACCGCCCCCGAGCGCCTACGCAGCTCCAGCGACACACCCAAACCTGGCTGCTCCATATGATGAGGCCCCACCGGCCTATGAGGAGACCTTGTCCTCCAAGGCGTAAGAACAGTCTGCACGGCTGTGCTCGACGACAGCATCCAAGTGAGCCTCACTCATACCCCCCAACGTCCTTTTCCTCTTCTTGGCTGAGCCCGTTTGCCACGCTGCTGCTACCATCGTCGTCGTGGTTACACCATAACTCCGATGCTTTGGTCTCTGCGTCGTGGACCTCCCTTGTTTGTGCTTCTATTTGCTTCCTTTATCATAACCCCCGGGTGTGCACGAGCTCGGGCTATCAGAGTCACGCCCGCGTCTGCCACCCGGCTGTCTTTTGTTGAGGTCCAGCCAAAGTCGGTATCTTTGCCAATCACTTTTTGTGGACAAACAAAGCTGCCCTATCGATTCAAATCCAATTTCATGTCATAATAACAACTATTAATCATCTAGCCACGACCACCAATCAACGACCCAGCATGGCAGGCATGAGCAAGCCGAGGAAGGTATCTGCCAATCTCAGCCGCCCTAGCACACACTGTTTACAAGAGCGCGCTTGGCGCGCAGCGCACAAACATCTTCAGAATGCAAACCGAAGCCTCTCTGCTGACGCAGCTTGACTTCCCCCAGGTGCAAAAGAAGCCAAACCATCGCAGCAATACATGTGGCCGTTCACCACCAGCCCCACCACCACCACCTTATCTTCTTAAACCACTAATCGTCGACGTCTATCTCTTGTCCTGAGTGAGATCAATCGTGGCAGCAGGCGGTTTGGCCAGGCCACGTCGGGCAGGATTGGCTTGGTGAAAGCCCGAACCTCGCCAAGGATCCGAGGGCATGGCCTTGCGAGCTCCTTTGGCCGGGGGGGCTGTGTTCGTCAATGGTCCGTTCCAAGGATCGGTACTCTTGTACTTGCCGGGGTCAACAGCGCGCATGGACCGCGGCTGGGCCGACTGTAGCCATGAGGTACGGTCACTAGGCTGGGCACGTGATGCTTTGGCACTGCTGGTAGGTCGGCTCGAAGGCTCATGCCATGGTGCGGCCCACTTGGTCTGCTGCTGCTGCCGTTCACTCGCCGACTTGCGAGAGGGCTCGCCAAAGAGCGACTCATCCACATATGACGCCTTGGCTTTGACTGGCTTGTATCGACCGCGCCCCAAGACCTGTGAGGGTGGCAGCGTAGTTCTGTTGCTGGTGTCGTGGTTAGTCCGGCCAAATCCTTGCAACGGGGCGGGGCCACCACCTGCCGCGGATACTGGCCGCGACCCCATCCGCGAATTGGCTCGAGACATGATCCTGTCCCACCCCGCACAGCCGCGCGACCTCGGCGATCTCTGTTTTTTTTTGAGGTCGTCAACCTCAAAAAAAAAAACGAAAAATTCGTGCCATTTGTACCATCGCACACAACTTTGTGAAACGATTTACAAAGTTATCGCTGGTTTATTAATGAGCACAACGTTAGTTTATGCAGCTAAAATACTTGTTATTGAAGCCGGTTGGACTGACCGAAACGATTTCGCAAGAGGGGGTCACTGCATCCAAGGTTTTGTCTGACAACCAGGAACTATGCATATTTTTGAATCATTTGAGTAGTAAAACCTGCGTTATAAACAATACAGTTTTATTTCGCAGTAAAATTTGAAATCTCTCATCAACCGAAATTCTCAACAAAACAAGAAAAAACTCGAAATTTTTGTGTTAAATTTCAACAACAGAACCTGGGAGCGACCATCGTTTCGCCCCCCGTTGCCGTTGCAGGACCTTTGGAACATGGCTCGCGATCGCGGTGCCAGCACGCGCGTGCTGGCTGACCGTGGCAATGAACCCGGCTCCGCTACGTCGAGCAAGGCGTCGGCACCACAGAAGCGCGCCAACAAGGGGCCCACCACGGCTACACGGCGAGAGGACCTGATGAATGCGATGAGTTCCATGGACTCGCTTGCTGCTTTTCATACACAGGTTCGGCCATGGGACCCGCAGAGCTCAGAGCGTGATGCCCAATGCACCGGAACTGATTTTTGCTTCTGCCTTTGCTTCCTTTTGGGGGTTCCAGGAGCAACAGGCCGACTCCTTGGACATGAAGGAGCTGCTTGAAGCACACTCTGTCAAGCAGGCCCAGGACCTTTGGGCCGCCGCCGTCAGCCTTCTCCGTTAGTCGCGGTGCAACAATCCCTTGATCAACCTGATACCGACAATGTCCCTGTTTACATTTTGTAGTCTGATGCGACGCACCTTTGTTTGGCCCGCATTCACATTCACAGAGTCCGAGGTCATTCCCGCCCTCCCCAGCGGCGATGCAGCCCCCGAAGCCCTGTCTGAGGTATACACCCTTCCACTCTGCTTCCCACACAAGCATGTACATACATACACACGCACACACAATCGCGGCCTATAGACCAAGAGATGGCGCTTTTCATCTGCTCAAGCTGCTATCGCTCTTGCTCGCCATGAACAAATAGCTGGAGCAGCAGGCCATCAGCAGTTTCACCTTGGTCACGGAAATGGCCCTCGCAGCGCCACCCGCCGTCCGAGAAGATGCCGATCTGCAGGTGCCACAGGACCTCATTACCATCGTCCTCGCCGTGCACGGTTTGTTCTATCGTCTACAGACCTTGCTTTGCGATAGCGGGACGACCCGAATGCAGGGATAGCGTGCACACTTCACGCTTCCAAACTTCCGGTCGAGGTTTCTTGTCTTGCGACTGCAACCATATCTTGCTCTCACTCGAGCGTCTGGGCCCACAGACTACCTGCTTGCTGCGCCGACCAGTGCTCGCGAGCTGCGAAATGCCAGCATTACTCTTCTTGGCAACTGGTACGGACCCAAAACCTCGTTCTCACGGCCATCATGAAGATACCCAAAACACACGCGCACGCGCGAGCCACTTTTGAACCTAATAGCACTGTCCTTCATCATCGACGTGGTTCACCCCACATTTGGATAGGTTCCGGTATCAGCGACCACAATATCAAGACATTACGCCCCACTTGGTGAGGCAACTCGTAAAAGATGCTCTCACCTGGCCAACCTGCAAAGCGCACAAGTATTCATTGAAGCATGTGCACATGTGTTGATGAACCATAGTGCTCAGCTGCAGTCATCATGGCTCTGGAGGAAAAAGCGAACCAGTCCGCCATCAAGCGTCTCTACAGCATGCGAGAAGCCTTTATGGCCCTTGACTATGATCATGAGTCCTCTGTTGCTCTCAAGGTCGGTTGTCACTTCCAAGCACACCAACTGCGCAACCAGCACCCTTGGTAGCTCACTGCTGAAACCAATATAAATTCCCCTTTTCATCCGAGCAGAGCTGCCTGTTGCAATGCGTTGTTGAGCCTCAATTCTTGAACGTGCTTGAGGGCCGCCGCTTCCTGAGCTTCCTTTTTGGTCTGCACCTCAACTTCACGGAGCAGCTACATACCAACATCAAAAGCACCCTTCCCCACTGCCCAAAGAGTTTCATCAGCGCATATGGCGAGGTTGGTGGGCAAATCAAGCTTTGTTGCGAGCTTTGCGCGTTGTACATTGTCCGCATGCCGTCAATGACATCCTCTCTCCTCCTTGACTGGGTGGACAGATCTATTACCGAGCCTGGCGAGGTGCTTCTGGCGCCTACCAAACCACGATTGAAAATGCGTGCATTCAGGTACGGCCAAACTTGATCAAGATGGCTATCGGCGGAAGGCATGAGCTTGATAACCCTCGTTTCGACTTTGCTGGTTTCCCGACACCCTCATCCAACAACAGGACTTGATCTATCACGCCCTGCACGCCCGCAAGCCAGCCTTCCGTGGTCCCAATATGCCTCTCATGCTACGCACGGTGAGTGCGCCTATGAGGCTTTGCCAACGCCCAATCATATACAGCAGGCGACTGCTCACATTGGTGCCGCCTGCATGTTGCGTAGATGCTGAATGATTTTCACGAAAAGAAGCAAGAGCGTGGGGTGGATGAGATGTTGACCAAGTTGTATGAGCCTCTGCTGTGGCGCGCACTCAAAGTGGCCAATCCTTTTGTGCGCCGCAACGCCGCTTGTCTGCTCGCCGACGTCTTTCCGTTGACCAACCCCAATGCATCACGCCCGGAGAATGAAGCGTAAGTGTGATGCGGCAGACGACTGACATGTGCTCTCTGTTGATGCCCAAGATGGCGATACCTGACTTTTTTTTTCTTTTTTTTTTTTTTTTTTTTTTTTTTTGGCACACCACATCTAGTCTTTTGGAGCATCAAGTCGATGCTTTGCAAGAGCTCCTCACTGACCCACACGCCGCTGTGCGCGCCACTGGTACGCCAACGTCCTCCCTCGTGCCACCATCGCTCTAATGACACGCTGCTCAACTCGCCTCACAGTCGCGCATACTTGCTGCTTGCCTTTTTGTTGCCAAACTCACAGGTGTTCAAGCAGTGTGCCGAGTGCTCTGTGGTTATTGGGAACTGTTCCCTGCAAATGCTCTGAGCGGCATTTTGACCAAGGTGGTCAATGACCTGACACGGTGCGTGCAGCCCTCTGCACTCATTCTACAGCCAGCTTGCTTCTTCCACCCGGCCTTTGATCTGCTGTTTCTTGGTTTCGATTTTTCTGTCAAATACACAAGAACTCACGAGGAATATACCTCGCAGGGACGGTGCCGATGCCGGTGTACGGGTCGCCTGTTTTCAAGGCCTTCACTATCTACTGGATAACCACTTGGCCATTCCCTTGCTTCGCAAGCTCCTGCCTACACTCCGCCTCCAGATCCACGATCCTTCGGCTCGTGTGCGCCGCAGCTTCATTGATCTGCTGCTTGCCGTCAAGGGCATCCGTGACATCCGCTTCCATGACATCGTGCCCCTGGATCAGCTCTTGGCCCGCCTGCCTCTTGAGACACCCGGTAACCAAAAGCGACTGTGCAAACTGCTTCTCCCCACCTATTTTCCCATGGGCAACACAGACGAAGTTCGCTACGACCGGTACGGTTTCACCTTCCTCGACCTACACGATACGAGCTGCCAGTAATCCTTTCAATTTTCTCTGTACCCTGTACCATAAAACCACTCATGCATTTTTTGGCCCTCCATGTATAGATGCGTGCGCCTTGTCGAAGCCAATCGCGAAGCGAGTCGCATCTTTTATAGCTTGCTACCCGAGCTCAAGGGAAAGGCATCAGACAGCGACGTGGCGCGCTTCGTCGCCGTCCTGGCTGCGGGCTTGTCGGTATGTCTGGCTCATGCCAGGTATCCAAAATATTGGATTTTGAATGCCCTGCTCTCATGTACCCCACCCGTGCGCTAGAGCGACGTCAAAGGCGAGGGTCTTTTTGATGAAGTGGACAGCCTGATGAATGAAATGGACGCTGCCAACGCCGAAGCTGCTGAGGATACCCCAATGGCTCGAGGTTGGCATACGGCATCTTTTCGTTCCCATTACAAACTTTTCTCTTGCTTCGTGGCGCTGCAGTTGCTTGGCCATGGCGCCCGTACGACTCACACCTGCTTTTGTGCGCCATATACGCCGTAGACACTCTGGTGGGCTTGATGGAGGTGATGGTGGTCTTGCTGGAGCAGCTGACACGGCGCCATGGACAAGACACACTGACCTCTCGCCTGGCGGACCGCATCAGCTCACTGGTGCAGTTCTTGCACACTCAATACGGAGATGACGAGGAGATCCAGACCTGTACCAGCATTATCATGGCTACCTTGCCCGACGTCTCCACGGTTCGTGCAAAATTGCGTGTTTGACAAACCGGAAGGCTTTCGCTGCCGTTTTCGCGTGGCCTATCCAATGACTGCTCTCACCTGCATGCCGTCGGGGACACATTGTGCAGAAGGAGATTGTGCAAGACCGTTTGGAAGAGCTCGTCGCCGCTGAGAGCAACACAGATGACCTGAACGCAAACGTGCATTGGCTGCTCCAGAATCATCAGGTCTGTCCATCTGAAAGCTTTAGCTTTGCCTGAACGCCATTACTCCCATCGTTTCGTTTTATGCTTGTTTGCTCGGATGTTCGTTTGTGTTCCATCGCGCCATCGCCCCCATTGCTATATAGCCCCACACGTACATCTTCTCACGTCCCCGTCATGCCTCTCATTTTCCGTGGTCATGTACAGCTACCTTCATTGCTTTACTTGGGAGAACAGCTTGTCGCCAACGCCCTTCAAGTTGAACACGTGCCAGGTATGAGAACGGCTTGGTGGTGGCTGGGGTTGCAGTTCAGTTCGGATGTGCGTTTCGATGGGACCACGTGTCTGAATGGGCTGGTTATGTGACATTCCGCAGGCGTGGTTGTGCGTTCCAATCAGCACAAGCGAGGCGCAAGCAAGTCCCGCTCAGAGGTGGATACAGGTCAGTATCATCAGCGACGCTGGCTACTGGCGCAGGAAGGACTTTCTGTTCACCCGATGCTGCCGATGCTGGCCCCATGCACAGATTTACTGACTGTAGATGACACGTCGCGCAGCGGCTTGGGTGATTCCATCCTCAAAGCCTGTTTGGTATGTACCATCACAAAACCCTTACTGTCGCGACTGTAAGCCGCGCTCGGTGTTCTTTTTTTTTTTTTTTTTTTTTTTTTTTTTTTTTTTTTTTTTTTCCACTCACTTCCCCATTTTGATAGACGTTTGCGGGCCAACAAGATGCCACACCTGAAGACCGCAAGGCCTTGTTGGGCACGGCTCCGGAATTGCTGCAGCGCATCCCTGATGTGGTGTTGGGTCGCTGCTCGGGAATCAAGTAGGGACAGCGCTGCTCGTGATGCTTTTTTGTTTTCGGTTCTATATGACTCGAGTAGTGTTCATAAAACTCACAAGCACTCGAACGCCCTGTCCGGCTTAGAATGCTTCCAACCAACGTGGACCGTGAGCTACCTCACATGCTGAATACTTGGTTTCAAATGCAACTGCTCGTGGGCAGTGAGGTATGTGCTGAGTTGCATGCGCTTGGTGAATGCGTCCGTTGCGTGTCACTTGATGGCAACTGCTATTTTGACCCGATGCGGTAGGTTGATATCTGGCAGGCGTTTGATGAGCTAACGCGGGTGCTGACCACGGGCATCTTGCCTGCGCTGGAGCAACTGACGACAGCCCCCATCCCCAAAAAGGCATCGAAGCGCTCCAAGGTGGGGGCTTGGGCCACTGCTTCCATGAGAGTGATAAATTTGCTTCTGTTATGCCCAGGTCTGAGAAGCTCATGGTGGCTTGTTCTGTGCAGGGTGCAAGCAAGGATGCGCCAACGACCCTGCAAGAAGATGTTTTGCAGGCTCTGGCCGCTGATATTGTACGACAGTCGCGCATTAAACATGGTCGTATCAAGTGCAGGGGTGGCCACAAACCTGACCCAATCGCTCGTGTCTCTCCAGATTGGCCAGGCTATTCCCGCAGCTTTGCGCCTCGGAGCTGTGGAGACGACATCCATCACCACGGCCGTGGAAGCAGCGTCGCAGGTGGCCAAGGTCATGCCAGCCGAGGTCCTGTGCGAAAGCCTCAGCACGCTCTGTCAAGAGCTCTTGGCCAGCACTTCGGGCACTCAACCCCACGAGCATGATGCGCATGGTCTGCGCCTTCTGCGTCTCATGCTATGCCAAGCCCATGGCACGAGCACCGCCTTTGCCCCCGTCCGCACTTTGGTCGTTCGCCTGGCCTCGGTCTTCCAGCGCCGCCAGTTGCTCCAAACCTATGTGGCAACGTTGGTGGATGGCCTGCTTGACGGCATGGAGGCTGCCGGGTGCATCGACAAGACTATTGGAGTGACAACAACCATTGCTGCTCACACCGTTCTTCCCCTCCGTATGTGCTGCTTGGCCTTGAGTTGAAGCGGGAGGAAAAAGTATACTGCGAGGCCGACTCACCTGCCCGTCTGCTCCGTGTTTTAGTCGCTGCAAGCCCTGCCTTGTTGTCAGCCTTCGTGCGAGCGCTGAATGGAATGCCAGCTGTGCCCCTCCGCCTTTACAATGCATTGCACCTGCTCTCGTTTGTACACCAAGGTCAGTCAGCTTTGCTCTAACCAACCACTGCCTCTGCCCCCAAGGCTGAAGCAAGAATGTGGCTCGGAGACGGTGTGCGGTGCTGACATCAAGACAAATCGCTTCTCGATAGATCTCAAGGAAGGTCGCCGTGAGCAAGCCAAAGTCCTTTATGCGGCAGCCAAGCGCCTTCGTATGTTTGACCCGAAGCTGACGATCCATACATGCTTAAGCCCTTGAAGGTACCATTCTGACGGTGTGTTTTGGGTGTCGTGTAGGCACGCACTTGCAAGACTCTGGCGCGTCTTCTGAGGACGCCGATCGCTCTACGGAGTTGATGCACGGTACGTTGGTATGAGGTTTTACCGCGATAGCTGAAAGTTCTTGAGTGGCACTGACTTGGCGCCTGGGTTTCCGCTTGCAGATCGCGTGGCAAAGGCCTTTGATGCTTTCATTGCAGAGGAGCAACCGTCCACCGCTTAACTCCGATTGCAGGCTTTTGCGTCGAAGCTCGTACACGTTGTGAAGAAAAAAAAAATAAAGAAAGTTGGGATTGTCGCGGCAGTGTCACTCGCCTGCCTTGCCGGTGCACCCATTTTTGGATGCAAAACGCGAATGACATGTCAATGTGAGAAAGCTTGGTTTATACTGTGTTGTTGTTCTTTATTCTCGCTCGCTTCCATCCAGTCTGCGGATGGTAAGGTCTGCTGGTCTGCGAGCACAGCAGGCGCCCTTGGCTGTTCTCTGTGTGTTTCAGTTTGTGTGAGGACCACTCGTGGTGTTGTTGTGTCGTGCAAAGTCAGCACAGCTCTATAACCCACTCAATTGTACTCGTGGCTTAATCAGGGGAGCTGGCATCTCATAATCGCTTATTGGGATCTGGTGAGGAGGGCATGAACAAATCTAGCAGCATTTCAGGCAAGGTGAGGCTGGAGGGCAGCAAAAAAAACTCAAAACATACAGAGCTAAGATACGCACAATAAATCATCTTCGACTCGACGGGCTTGCTGCACCAGGCTGGCCAATTCAGGATCAGCTAAAAGCACCATTGTGTTGAATGAGTGTCAGTTTTTGTCGACAGAGTGCAAAAAAAAGATTAAATGCTGACAGGCAGTGCCCTGACCTGCTTCTTGAGGCGATAAATTATGCCAAGCGCGGCGGAGGTCGGCCAGTATGGCAGGTGTATCAGCTGCTTGGGCCGTTTCGCTGGGGCTGCGCTGGAGCGGTGCTGCATCGAAGGGAGCGCTACAGGCGGCCGGAGCGTGGAGGGACTGAGGTGGGCTATCAGTCTGCGTGGAAGAGTCGCGGCGCGGCGTTGATTGAGGGTTGCTGCGATTACTGGCTCCCAGATGGACATGAAGGCGTAGAGTGCCCATGCTCTGGGCATCGGTGTGGGCTGACATTTCAGTCTGGTGAAGAACAGACAGCGGCAGCTGGGCCGTTTCATCGTGGATGGCAATGTCCGTGTCGGGAAAGCGGGGCCCTACGGCTGCATGCACGGGCTTGGGGCCATGAACCATCGTAGGATGGGGTTTGCAGGCAGGCGTGTCCCCATCGTGGTCACCTCCTGCTGCACGGCCCGTCCAGGGTACGGCGGATGCTGCCGGCAATTGGGCATGGGGTGATGGCTGAGCCCGGTCCGGAGCTGGGGTTTGATTCTGGGCCTGGCCTGGGGCTGGGTGGGTGTTCATCGTGGGCGTTGCTGTCTGACAAGAACAATGCTCTAAAACCTGAGGCTCAATGGGTTTACAAGAAAGGGCCTGTGCTGGTGCCTGGGCTCCGTGATCGGATTCTGATCCTGTTGCGGGGACCATAGGCGCTTGTGCCTGCCTGCCTGGTTCGCTTGCTGTCGGGGACGCTGCGGCTGGTCGACGACCCAACGTTTGCAGTCGATGCATGGTGCGCCATTTCTCCCTGTGGCAGCAGCAGAATAGTCCGGGAGACACAAGTGAATTGTTAATGTACATTTCTTGTCAAGGCAAAGATGGGGGGGGAGGAAAGGTGGGTAAACCCGAAAGACGAGGCCACATGGGCACGATAAGGCAGGGCGGGCCCTACACGAGATTGGAGCCTGGCACGTCCTGTAGTGGGACAGTATGGCGCGATGATGCCGGTGGCGCTTGGCGCGAATAGTCAGTTCCCGTGGCAAGTCCAGACCGAGTCCTCGAGCTTTGGTGAGGCGATTGCTTGCTTGCCTTTAAGCGGCGCAACAGAGCCAGACTGTAGGCGTGGTGTGCAGCGATGAGACACAATGCTGATATTGACGAAAAAAAAAAAAGAGGAAGTGGGGGGATCGCAGTACAGTTCATCAAACAGGTCCAACTCGCCTATTTTGCAGCACGCGATCGGTACGAGCATCCAAGTCTGGCGAGGAAACCGGCTCTCGGCTCACCCTCCCTGTGGGTGAGGGTGCTGGATGACTCTGTCGCTCTGGCAGATCGAGCGCATCTTCGAGGGCACCCGCATCGCTTGGCGCTGTACTTGATGCAGCAACGGATGCCAAATCGTCGCGAAGGGTGTATGCATCCACAGGCGGGGCGGTGGCAGGGCGAGACCACGGATTCTCCGTGGCCGATTGGAGCCAAGAGTCACGCTCTAGCAAGACCATCACAATGAAACAAGCAAGTCATCCGCCACCCCAGAGAAGCCTCCGCAGCCCCTGTCCAACCTATCCCAGAACATGGGTTGTGCCCAACATACCCATGCTTCCAAGGTCGAAGCTTGCCAACACGATCCACGGCCCTCACAGGCGTCTCATTCACAACTCGGCCACCGCGCACATGACTGCTCGAACCATCCCCGTGTCCGCAATGATGAATTTGACCGTTACTCTCTCTCTCTCTCTCTCTCTCACACAAAAAAAAAAAAAACCTCCCAAACCAAAAAATTTCATTCCTCTCAGACAAGAATTATTGTTTCTTTTCCCCTCAGATCACACACGCACACACGCACACACGCACACACACCACTATAGCCGCTTTAAAGCCTTGCTCATGCCCAAAGTTCTTTGCTTTCCATCCCATGCAAAGACGCACACCAATCCAGGATCACCGGCAAGAACAAGGGTTGTAGACTGGGAGAGAGTGAATTCGAGAGCTTAACTGCTGACAGATGAAAGCACGAGTTGGAAGGAAATCAAAACGATGGCAAGCTTGATTGTCAATCAAACGCTCACTTGAGCCAGGTCGTCAGGTAAGTCTCAAAACGCTGGCGCGAAGCAGTCAGTTGCGGGGGATCGCTACGGCTGGGCAGGTGCAAATCATCGCAATGACCGCAGCCGTCACAGTGCACGAGCTCAAATGGCAAGGAGGGACTCAATTCCTGAGGGAGGTCAAGATGAGGCACAACCGGAACCGGTGAGGAGAACAGCATAATGTGTGTCGGGGCAGCAGGGGTGTCCGGGACCAACCTTGCGGACAGATGCCTGTTGCCAGGGATCATCGCTAAAGTTGCTAAAATAGACTTTTGTGGTGTTGGGCGCCGCGCCGCCGTAATAGGCGTTGGTGCCGTTGGTATCTGGGAGAGAGGAGAGGCCAAACATGGCATTGCATCGCTTCTGATGGTAGTCCATGGTGATCAAATCCATGCGCAGGGAACCGCTTTGAGGATGGTTTTGCCAGTAACTATCGAGGCAGCAACCACCGTGAGAATGTCGCACCAGGCTGGTACGTTCCATAAAAGAGAGGCTGGACCAAAGGGATTTCAGCTATAACGTACGCCAACTCGTAGCACTTTTGCCACCACCAGCTTCGGGCCGTGGGTTGCCAGCGAGTTGGCTGAGCCTAGTCATGATGCGAGCGAGCAGATGACATAACGAGGCATCAACCTGGCTTGCAGCCGCGGATGTCACGACCGGCGCAACGAGGAATGAGTAACGCACGTAAACACAACGACGGTCGTAGAAGCAGCTACTGCCAAAGTCGCTACCCCAGAAGAAGTTTGTAAAGTTGGCAAAACGCTGGCGCGCAGCCTCATGGGAATCCTTTTGCACGTTGGCCAGGGCATCGCAGAGAGCAGCCTTGTTGTTGTATTGAGCAGCCATGGCCGCCGAGTCGGCCAACATGTAGGCAAAATCACCGTCATCCATGCCCGGATCAAGACCAAAGAGAGCCTTGGTCGCAGCGTTGATGAGGTCTGCGTTTCAAAGTTGTACCAGCAACGAGAGAAGGTAAGAAGGTGAGAAGCCAGCGCCATGGAAGAGTGGCCCCCGCACGCGCTTGAACCAAACGGTCAACCATGCGTTGGTGCGGCAAAAGCCGTTCGGGTGTTTGGCGGGCTCAAATTGTATGGCCTTTAACAGTAGTTTTGAATTTTATTTCTCTGCTGAAACTGACTCACCCCCCTCTCCTCTGCTTGTTTTTGGGAACCGCTCACAACGTACCGTTTTGCTGGCTTGCGACAAACGCAGCGGTGACGTAGCGCACATTATCCGCACATTGATCGCCGATTGCTTCAGCCACTTGTTCATCAAACTCGACAAAGTTCAGCACGGCGTTGACGACACCAGAGCTGTCCAGGAAAGAAGACGGGTGGTTGAAGATTAGGTGGGACAAAAGGTGAGCGGAATGGCCGACAAGTTGTATTGGCGGTGAGAGAATAAGGGGCATCCAAGCCTACCTGGAGAGAGCGCCGTCAATGATGTGAGGGTACTTTGTACGGAACCAGGCACTCAGAGCGCCCGAGTAGGAACCTCCAAAGGCCATCCATTTGCGGCAGTGATAGGTGCGGTTGACATGGTCAATCAACGCTGCGGCATCGGCCAGGGCCTGTCGAGAAGTGAGATAGTGCAGATTGTCGACGGAGAAATCATCCCCCGGCACGGATTCACCGTAGAAGCTGAACGTATGGACGGAACGGTGATGGCCTTGTGAGAGTTGGTGAGCAAGTTGGCCACCCGGCCAAAGGAACGCCCTGGCTTCGAGCACAAGATGCTGGTCAGTCAGAACCATGCCGCATCAAACTGACCGATGCTCGATGGACACTTGAAGAGCTTTGTAACGCTTGGCCAGATCGGCAATGTAATCGTTGCCGATTCCGTTGTTGGGGGCTTCACCGCCCATCTCGAAGAAGCAGACGCCTTGCTCGCGATCGTAGTGAAGGTCCGAGGTATAGTAACGGCACGAGAAGGTACCCATGCGCGAGTCATCGTGGTTCTGCGAGAGAGGCGGGGAGGCGCTGTGAGAACAACGGGCTCCACGCCCAAGGCGTCGTCGCAGGTCATGACGTACCAGGGGGAGCGCGATGCGTTGAGCCACATCGACGAGAAGTTGGCGCTGATGCAGACGCGCAAACTCGCCGCTCATAGCATGCGCCGGTGGCTCGTGGGCAGCCTGCGCTGGTGCAACAGCAGCCAGCACGACCAGAGCCACGACGGCGACAAACCCCGAAAACATCATCTGTCGCGCCATGGCGGTCAACCACGTGTCTAGACACACAACCGACCCGTGAGTTCTCCCAGCGCAAACAAGTGAATCCAATCACCACGCACACCAACTACCCACCCCTCTGTCCACCCCCC